CTTCATTTCAATTGCTATCTAACTGGCTACCTATTTATTTACTAACTACAAATATTATATTATGTTGTGTTTCAATACATATTCCATTACAAATTTAAATTGGAATTTCCTAATGCCAATTCAAACATGCGGACTAAGGTTTCCACAATACCTTATCCACATCTAAGTAGTATGAAACTTGTATACTAATTATTAATTTATTAATTTTTATGAAATTTATTCAATAAAATAATCAATTAAAATTTAAAGGTAAATTAAAACTTCTATTCAGAGGATATATTTTTAATACACTACAAAAAATCTTAATTTCAGGTGATACTTTCACAATATGCCGATATGCTTGTGTACGTGAAACAAAAAACATTAAGGATAGGCGTGACTAGACTTTATTGGTAGGGACAGCCTAGCTAATGATCGTCGCTACCTTATTAGTGAACCAAAAAAATCCCTATACACCCAAAGCCAAATTTTTTTAAGCCCCCCCCCCTCCACAATGAAATATTTATATAATTTAAAAAAGTCTAAATTATTTATTTACAATAATGATCTACAGAAACTTCAGAAGTATTATTCATCTACAGCCTTGGATTACACCACCTAACAAATTAAACACAATACAACAATAATATCAACAATACTTAGATGCGTACCGTACCATCATCGTCTGTCTCAATTCTTTATAGTAGGTTTTTCCGATTTCCGAAGTGAGGAAATCAATTTGATAATACATGTTAAATAAAGATATTATCTACCTAATTTTGTTGAAAATATCTTTGTAAGTAAATGGTAATTATAACGTAACACACAAAAAAAAATGAATGTTGTGACCCTTCTGATTTAAAACTTGGTTGACCAGCACCTTTCAAAAATGTCAGGGGAAGCCCAGGCACCCCAGGCTGCCACCGTAGAAACACCTATGATTAAGATGTAATACCGTATAAAGGCAACATCACAACATCTGTTAAAAAAAAGAAGTTAATACCTATACCACCCTATACCTATGAAAATATATGTTTAATCATTAATAGGTTAGATTAAGGGGTACCCAGGATAATGAATGGGGTTATTTTATCCGTTTCCCTCAACTATAAACCATTTTTTTTTATTTTTATTTTATTATAATCAACGTCAGATGGCTTTTACAAAATTATACAAGCAAGAAAAACGTAGATAACAGATAAAGACATAATATTATTATAGCAACCTATAAGATGCTTTACATATACTTACAATAAAAATAAAAAAAACAAAAAAAACAAAACAAACGTGATATTAAAACAAAAGATAGCCATTCTTTTTTTTCTTTTTTCTATATGTGAGCCTCCGTACTAAACACTAAATACGGTTTAATAATCCATATTATTATTTGCATTATGCATCATTCTTAAAAGTAGGGCATTCGTGGAGAAGTTAGATTTATTGGTGGGTATATAACAATTAGACTGAAGCCTAGTATTACTAGGAATACGAAAACTCCAAGAAGTTCTCCAAGAAGCCTTGGGGCATCAACTCGACCTCCGATCAGACCCTGAATAAAAGTGATACCAAAGTTATCACGCCTAACTGAAAGGGAATAAAGTCTCAGAGCTTGATGTACTGGCCCATAATCGTGTGGTGGATGGGGGATGTTGAGGCAATGACCGGCGAAACGCATAAAACTATTTTGAACATAGTCAATCCGACAAATATCAATGGCGGTGTATATGGTGACCAAACAACAGACCCATATTCAATGACCAAACGGACTAATACATAATAGAGAGCCAGAAGGCAATTGGATGAACTGAAATTGGATGAGTGACGTCTTATAAATCCCAAAACAAGGAAAGCTTTGGTGGTCATATAATCAATGTGAGGTCTAAAATTAAGGGAAGGTACAAACAAAATGCCTAAATCATGTACCCAAAATAAATACATTTTTTAATGAATTAATTAGGTATTGAACCCCATATGGCCATATCGACAATGATGCCCCAACTCATTCGTGTGAATATGCGACTTGCATGGGCCTATTAAGTATTAAACTAGTATTTTATCTAAGTAGGTACCTATTTATATAATCTTTGATCGTATAGACTTATTAATTATAGTTCATAATATTAACATATTATACCTATTGCACCTAGTACTAGTGTACGATCTACAATTATCATGGACTTAAATAGGTTCCTCAAATACATAGAGCTTGAGCCTAAAAGGTTTCAATGATAAAAAGAGTAAAAGGCTTGTCTTCCATCCACTATACATATTATACACAATTTTATCCATGATACATTAATCATAACTAGGTACCTATCACAAATTAAATGTACCTACATTTATTTATTGAATTATTGTATAAATAAATGTACCTACATTTATTTATTGAATTATTGTATAAATGTATACAATTTTATACAAACATACAGTCATAAAATTTATCTGTGGCTTGGTCTAAGAAAGGCCAATGTCACATTTTGACAAAATTGAGATTATTTGACTAATATTATTAAAGTGTGCTTATGATTTATGTTACTTGTGTTAAAAGGGCCAATGTCTCTTATGCTGTATGACCAAATTAGATTTGACATTGGCCTTTTTGACAAAAATCGATTTATTATGGGCTTATGTCAACAACTGACAAGTTACTAACATTATGCTTAATTGAATATTATGCTTAGGTTTTCCTAAAAAAAGTCAAGTTCTTTAATTATTAAAATTTTTTTATTTTAAATTTTAGTTCTTGGCCAATGTCAAACTAAAACGTACATATTTATACTTAAAAACAAAATGAGTCATACAATGACATAAAAACAAATGAAATCAAGTAACAGAATTTTTAGAGTTATAATATTTTAAATTCTTGAACTATGTGTACTAACTGTCCCGCTCCAAGATTCGTATTTTAAATTCAGAGCGGAGCCATATATTTTTTTTTTTGTGTTTACACTAAGTAATCGAAATAATGCTTCCATTTTCAACTTCAGTATCATGTCCGATGGGAAACTTGGAAAGTGAATCTAATTGGTGCATGAGGAGGTTAAAATATGAAATCCGCAGTAGTTTTCAAAAGCACCGGAAAGAACAAAAAAATGATAGAAAAGTGGGTACCGCTCTGCTGTACAGTAGTTGTCGAGTATGTCATTGTAATGGATGTGTTATATTTGAATTCATTATTCAGTGATTGGATACGAAAAACGATTCTGAGCGGAGACGGTGCGTTAGCCTAGGCCCTAGGCCTAGCAATTCAGTGGCGCCGAACACGTATGGCTACTGGGGTTATTTACTCCATAACTTTTGTTGATGGTGGGTGGGTGACGGCTTAGTAGTTAGTGCTTTAGGTCCTGTTGATTTCAATAAATTTACTACTAAATATACTATATCGTAACAATTATATATTCAAACGCTCATAAAGAAAAATTGTTACTTAGCGCTAAACTTATTGGTTTTGTTATAAGTAGAACATTTTGTTGGGAATCTTTGACTAAAATTTCTTATTAGCTAGGTATGAAAAGAAAAACTTTTATAAATTTCTAACTGGAAAATAGTTTACAAAATTTGAAAAAATTATCATGGCTTTAAATGGCTCAAAATGTGTCGAAGTAGTTTTGTGAATATTTCAACGTGTATGGAAAATTCTGATATAAAATATAAATATATTATGATAAACATTTAATGAGTCTACGGTTATTCGTTTTAAAAATATAAAAAATCGATCAATAATTTACCGCTGAATTAAATGTAGTAAAAATTATAAGTTCAAAAGCTCATAAAAATTAATGTTGCTTTTCGGTAAACTTTTTTTTGATTGAGATAGGTACATTTGGGTGGAGTCTTCTTTCAACATTTAGTATTATTAAGTACATAAATTTCTAGTGTTTACGGTTTTCGTTTTTGAATTACAACAGAATAAGAAAATCGCTACATGAGAAATCAATTGAATATCTAACGCTGTAAAAATTGAAATTGACTAATTTTTTTTTTAGTTCAAGATAGACAAACTCATGAGGAATTTTGTGTTCAATTTTAAAATCTTAGATTTAAAAAGAAACATTTTTATGAATTTCTAACTCAAAAAAATTTGCACATTTTCGTGATTTTTACGTATTTTGTCAAAATTGGAACTTTAAATGCTTATAAAAAAAATTGTAACCATGTATTTTTCATCTGTTGTAGTAACAATATATTATAATTTATAACTTATAAGTATTTTATGAAAGTTACAAGCTTTATGACCCAACGAATACAATTTTATTGACATCTACCTACCTATAGAAAAAAAACCTAAAAAAATTGGAAACTGATAATGTTCGTAAACAGCTTAGAAGAAATCAAAATAACTGAATATTTTTTGGTACATTTTATGTATACGATCATTAGTCTTATAGATATGCCAAAAATGGGGTAAAAATTACCGTTTTTTTTTTTTTGTTTTTCACTGAACCTTTGAAAACTACTGGTATTTTTAGAAACTAAAAAAGTTTCATGTCAATTAAATAATATTACCTGTTGACTGTTGTTATGTAACGCATTAAATAATAAAGTATATGAAATACATGATTGCTCGAACAATTCTTCAGTTATTTTAAATGGAAGTTCAATAATAATTTTAAAAAAAATCTTGAATAAAAATAAACTTTTATTTCAGGATTCCCCATCGTTATCACTATATTTATTACGATTATGAATAATATATATCTATGGGAATAACAAACAACAATATACTTGTCTGTAACTACCACGGGGACAGTTTATATGTATCTAACATTCTAACCATGACGGCATGACTAAATAAATGTCATAAACTTTCATAAAGTATATTATATTTTGATATTAGAGTATCAGACATTAATTATTTTCATGGCACCTAATCTTGCTCTGTTTAAACTGTTTTAGAACAATAAACATTGATTTAATATATTTTGGTTATTTTACGCATATATTTCTTAAATTAATATTGTTATTTGTTACCATAATATTTGGTTTTTATATCTGCAATATTAATTAATTATAGCTGAACTATGAATGATTATTCTATTGAACCAGTAGTTGATTCAGAATTGTACGAAGTTGAAGAAATTAGACATTTGTATGACCTTTTTGATGTAAGTTTTAATGACAATTTATTGTATATTAATTATTAATGATATATTTTTATGATTTGAAATTTAAAATAATTTTAGGTTATAAGTGTTCATAAAGTACAAAATCCACTGCTTTGGGGCTTATACACATTAAGAAAAAATGAAATGGAAATAAATACAAAAAATATAAAGGTAAATGAATGGCTTTTATATCACGTTACTGCCACTAAAAATGTTCAATCAATTGCGGAGAATAATTTAGACTGGCGTTTCACAAATCGTTGTCGATATGGAAAAGGTGTATGTTTTTCATATTGCCCTTTGTATGCCAACCGATATGCATCATGTGCTCAGGGTAGATTATTGACACTTTTATTTAATATAGTCGAATTAAATTTTGTACTTTCATTAAAAAATATTTAATAATATTAAATCAGGATCAACTTCTGCAGTAGATTACGATGAAAATCTTATGCATATACTTATTAATATGGGTTTTCCAAGAGAAGCAATCAAACGAGCATTATTTTATACGTATAACCAAGGACTAGAAAGTGCGACTAAATGGCTTATGGACCATATTACAGATAATAATTTTGCTGAACTTTTTGTTCCATCCAGACATGACTTCAATAGTGGTGAGTAAACTACTTTTTATGCTATTTTTCTTAAGTGATTTAAAATGTTGATATTATTTTGTTTATTAATCTATTATTTAATTGTTTCAATCATTCTTGTTTTCATGCTAATTTAAAATAATGTTTTTTAGAAATTTCAATTGAGCGAGCATTTATAATTTGCCGAGTCTTAGTTCAAAGAACCAAAGATGTTAACGTCAATTATAATTTGAATGTTATACCTAATGTTTTTGATACTGCTAAATCATTAAATGGTATGGTTTATGTAAAATTCAATGATTACGAATTTTATCCACAGTACATTGTGTATTACAGAGAACATACAACCGAACATAATTTAACTAAATATGCTGATCCATATTCATGCAATTTCAATTATAACTATTGTGCTGATCAATGATAATAGTATTCTATAAATTGGCTAATTATATTACATGTTAACTATATTTTGACTTATGCATATTAATAGCAGCAACATTATTATAACAGATTAATCGATCAAACATTATATAACTCATATATCAAGTATTTTTAGTATAATGGTATATTTATTAATTAATATTTTATACTGAACACAATGTTAGTTATTAAGCGAATGTATGATTTGAATTAAATAATAACAAAATAAAAGAATATTTTAAATAATTTAAGTTTCTAGTTTTATTAGTAGAAAATGTAAAAAGGTGGGCAAGTGGGTGTCGCTCTGTTGTACAGTAGGGTACAAGTAGGTCACTGGATAATGGATGATATTAAATTTGAATTCAACGACATAATATCATTGTATAAGAAAAACGATTCTGAGCGGAGACGGTATGTCAGTCTAGGTATAAGACATATTATATACATATCTATGGTACTAAACCAAAATTTGACCTATAATAAATTCCAAATTAATCATATCAAAATATCCATTAGGTACTTATAACGCATTATACATCAACAAAAACCGTGATACTATCATAGATATATAATAGTACACTTTAGAAGTTTCAAGTACCCACGAATAATATTATTAAATCACAACAAAATAACTAAAATAGTTATTCTAGGTTTTTTAATATGTAATTTCGTCCAAATTTGAATTTAAAATGTCTGTAAAAAATAACTGCTCATATATTTTTTAGATTTTTGGCTACAGTATGAACTATTTATGAGAATCTTTTTTTTAAATTTTCAATCCTTAGCTATAAAAACTGAACATTTTATAATTTATTAATTTCGATGATTGATAATTTTCGAGATTTTGATAAATTTTGTCAAAATGCGATCTTTAAATGCTTATAAAAAAAAATTGTGCCTATGTATTTTTATTATGTACATTTTTACACTTTTTGGCCCAACAGATAAAACTTTATTAATATTTATAGAAAAAAAAAAACTAAAAAAATTGAAAACTGAAAATGTCCGTAAACGGCTCAAAAAGAGTCAAAATATTTTCAAAATTGTATGGTGTATAGGAAATGCTAATAAAAACATTCAGTGAAATTTTCATGTATCTAGTAATTCGTTTTTGAATTACAACAAAATAAGGAAATCGCCACTTGAGAAATCGAGTGAATATCCAATGTTGTAAAAATTTGAATTTCAAACGCTCATAAAAATTTAATTTGACTTTCTTATAGAATTTTTTTTTTGATAAATGTAGGAAATCTTATAAGGAATCGGCACATGTGTCGTATGCTATCTACCAACAAATTGATGGTGTCGTATGCTATCTACCATATCTACGTTATCTACCGTAATTCGTATTGACGTATATTTCTATATATTATATATATTTATAATTCCTTTAGGAATTTCAGAGTTATTTTGTATTTTAGAATTTAGTATGTATGTTCGTTGATCGCCGAGATCAAACGTTGTAGTTGTGTGTTTTTTATTAATTGTAAATTTATGGTTTTATAAAATGAGTACTTTGGGTGAATTATATAGAAAAATTATTTTTAATGACGAAACTTTATACAAAATTAAATTCTGTTGGAGAACAATGTAATGGTGAAATGAAAGAAACTTTAAAAAAAAGCAGGAAACGTGATATAAACGGAGATATTATTATAACAAAATATTTACGATGTAAAAAAAAAGGGTTGTCAAACATGGCAATCCATTCGTAAAGAAAATCCATTTTTTACCTTACATCGACAACAAATAACAATGGAAAAAATAATAGTGGATTAAGTTTATGCGAAATATTTGTAGATTTTTATATATGATTGATTAGGTAGATAGCATACGACACGTATACGTAGATTTTTGTAGATATAATTTTCTTGGTAGATAGCATACGACACGTGTGCCAAGGAATCTTGTATTACATTTTCATATCTTAGATTTAAAAAGAAAAACTTTTATGAATTTCTAACTCGAAATAATTTGCAAATTTTTTTGATTTTTCCATATTTTGTCATTTTTTGAACTTTAAATACTTAAAAAAAAAACTGTAACTAACGATTTTTAATATTTTTCATCTGTCTTTGAAACAATATAGTAGGAGCCTTGTATTAAATTTTCAAGTATTTTTACTCAAAAAATAAATTTTTATTGATATTCATAAAAAAAAAAAACTAATAAAATTGGAAACTGAAAATGTCCCTAAACAGTTCATCTATGGTCATTTGTTTTTTCTGGCGCTTTTGAAAACTACTGTGAAATTTAAATTTTGACCTCCCCAATGCACCAACGATATTCACTTTCCAATCGAACAAGATACTGAAGTTGAAAATCGAAGCATTATTTCGACTACTTATCGTGTACACAGACACAAAAAAATAAAAAAACACACATTGTAAAATCAATACATTCATCGTTCCACTCAGAATCTAAAATAAAGAGATTGTTTTTTGTGAATGAGTGATGAGTTAAGACGATGAGTCAAATGGTTCTCCGATATTAAATATGTATCAAGAATACATTTTACAATTAATCCAGTGTGAATTGAGTACAATGGAAGGACATAGGGAAGGTGAAAGATGGAAAGGAATAAATAGTTTTGTTATAGTATTACAAAAGTTAAGCTAAGGTTAAACCACCGAATTCGGCCGGTAAAATCAGTGGGTTAGGCTTAACCGATTTTTAAACTGTAAAATAGGCACTAAGAAGAACATAATCAAATAACTACAAAGGTAAATTTAAGAACTAAAGTAAATCAAAATATTTTATTTAGATATAATGAAAAACAAATTTCAGAGAAAAATTATACAAATTGCTGAACAATTTATCAATTATCACTGATAACATTTAACCTTTTTAAAGATAAAAAATTATAAAATAAAATATTATATTCAGAATAACAATAAATTAAGTGATAATAGAATTTACTATTTAGACTAGATTTCTTAATAATAAAATTTAGTGGCACATATGCCACATTCATCATAATAATATGTCAATATATTTTATGAAATAAGTGAATATAAAATAAATAAAATCAGTCTTTTTTACCAAATATAATGTTTGAACATAACTCATAATTTACAAAATTATTAAAAGAATGATGGTTATTAAAATAATACCAACTAAAATCCCAATGGCCATCCATTGTCTTCTATCTGAAATATAAATTACATTGTTAATATTATTTATAATGAGAATAACAGAGAGAACTGAAGAATGTAATTGTCTAACAATAAAATAACATTTATTCTAATATATTTTTTATATTTAGCTATTATGAAGGTTAATTAAAAAAATAAATAATATGAGATTGTTAATTCAATTGGTCAGTTATTTTCATTACAACGTATATTAATTGACCTGCATGTTTATTTTGCACAGAAGTTTAGTATAACAGTAATCGGTCAAAGTATCCAAAGTGAATATTATGTATTTTTATTTATGCATATTATAAAAACACAGAATAGTGAATAATTTTATAGTTTTATAGAAACTATTTCATAAATTATAATATTAAGGATGACATTGCTGTTCTAAATGATAATTATTCTACCCGATTTAAATCTAAGGCTAATATTATCATTGTTCCCAAAATGAGAACAGTTTTTGGACAGCAATGTCCTAAATATAAGTTTATACAATTTTGTTGTGATCATGATTAAGTAATTTCAACAATTTTAGTTTACCCTAAGTTGTTTTAATTAAGTTATCTAATTCTACTATAGTTAAATGTTGTATCTAACTTATTATTGTCTATGGAACTCTCATCTCTAGCATAGACATTGGCTGTTGAGGTGATCCATACTTAAGCTTATGCTAATATTATTACGTTGTAATGTCTATTTGATGGAATAACTTATTATTATAAATAACAATGAAATAAAATATTAATAAATATTAATCTCAATATCATATATTAAATCTCTTAAAAATGAACGTTGGCAATAATGCATGTATACAATAGTGGTTGTAACCTCTAAATAGTGAACATGGGCACTTAAAACCGATACCAAAATTATAATTTATATAAAATATATATAGGTACTAATATCATAATTATTTAAGTAATAAAAATACTATAATATATCTTTTATACGTGTTCATATTTCTTTATCTTAATAGTTTTCCTATTCAATAAATTGGAAAATAATAATTTTTAAATTTTTAGAAGAAAATATACTATCTATACCTATGACATAATGAGTATATGTGCAATAAGACGAAAACAAATAAAACATGATTTAAATAATTTGGGGAAAGACTGATGACACTTTTGACTTGGTTTAAATTTTGTGTGATTTCATTATATTGGTTTTTTTTTTTATATATTTAAAGTAACAATAATTAACTTAAAAATAAATTTCAGAATGTGACATTCTCACAGCGAGTGTGATACACTGATATTGAGTCATAAGCCCCACTCCATATTTTAAATGTTTATTATGCATTTCAGTTTTAAATGTAAATACCAAATACCAAAGAAAATTTTGTTAAATAATATAATATGAAGTCACTAAAATTACCATCAGACAATTGTAGAACTTGTGCCACCTTTTTTGATACCATGTCTAATCTTGATTCTGTTTTGTCTAATTCAGAGCTTAAATTTTCAAGCATTCTAAAAAAAAGATAAATATACATTTATAATGTAATAAATAATATAGGTTTTTTTTTTCTGTCAATACAACAATACATTATGAATATGTAATTCAATATTAAATTATTTAAACAATAGTTTATAATTATGGTAAAAAATGAAAGGTTGATCTGTTTAATTGACATTTATCATTTAAAATCTACTTACACATTTTGGTGATCTAATTCAACACTTATATCTTCTGAAACATTTTTCAATGTTTTGACTGAATTAGATATAAGGTCAAGTTGATTGTGTTGATTATTCATCTTATGAGAATGTGAACTAAGCATATCAGCTACAAATGTTGATGTGCCAGGGCGGGATGTAAATAACACATCATCTGGATCTTCAGTATCCCTTTCTAGTAAAGGCTAATGTTATAAAAAATTAGTTACAAATAATATATATTAAACACTAAATACTCAATTCACATACTTACAAAAAAAATATAAAATATAATGGCTGATTTTAACTTTGATACATAATATATACCTATTTTACTTGTATGATATAAGAAAATCATTTAAATTTTCAAAAATAATTTAATGAACTATTACTTATATGCCATACGACTACTTATACTTGTAAGGTGATTGTATTAGTTGAAAATTTCTAGAGAAATCAATTACAATCTTGAATAGTAGAAGTAAGCTACGGAGGTAATAATGTGGCTGAGCAAATTCGATATAATCAAAGTAATCAATTTAAACAAATAAATTTTTCTATTTATCTAAATATATACATTTATTTAATTTTAACTCCATTATTTCATTTAGTGATGAGAATTTGAATGAGTTGTTTTTATTCTATATGTATTTATCAACCTTTACTGTGCAGAAAATCATCTTTAGAACATGTTATGTTTTTATGAATTTAATCTTACCTCGCTGTCTTGAGTTCCTGAGTTTAATTCCCAGGAATAACCATTTTTTCCTCTAGGCATCATATTTTCTTTTGATATTGGAATACTTTCTAATTTAAATTTTCAACAAAATTAATACGGAACTATTAATTAGTTTAATATGTGAAGTAGGTATACAAGTGAATTGTAAAACTGTAATAATTTCGGAATAATAATCAATTGTGAACTACTAACTATAAAAAAAAAAATAATGACATCAATAGTAAATAGTTGACATAAGGAATAAAGGTAATGGTTTGGAAAATCATAATATATAGGTAAATGATAAATTATGAAAAAGAACTAAGAACAGGTCGGCTGTCTATTCCTAAAACACAGTAAGTGACATTCTTATCAATTTACGTTTTATTGGTTTATCTTGTTCCACATAGTATTCCGGTTGTAATGGTATCAAAATTGTTACTCTGGTCCTACTGTACTATGAGATATGGTCAATTATATACACTAGTTCTCCATCTAGTTGCATGGACAGCGCCTTCACTAATTTGCTTCTCCTGAACAATTTTGTAAAATACACTTACTGTGTTTTATGAATAGACAGCCGAGGTGGTCAATCTACAGAATAGCCATCAATCATCATTCATAACGTCGTTCTGTAATCTGTATGATAAAAATCTATTATCTGTAAAAATAAAATAATATGTATAACATAACATCGTAAATCGTTTTAAACGTAATATGATGACAGAATAGAAATCAGTAATCATAAGCTTCTTCAACGATATCGATATTTCGATTCGATATCACTAACTTTTTTTCAGAAATTTAGGTGTGGACCTAAATATATACGACAACTAGATAGTCGTCTCCTTGTCAACGAAGTCGGCCGCCATTTACAAAACGGGCAATGTTTACGAAATAATATTATCATAGTATATATGTATGGATAAATAATATAAATATATATGTATATAAATAAATGTAAACATTGCCTGCTTTATAAATGGCGGCCGATTCATGGACAAGAATACTGCTTTATACTGGGCCGGTTTCAACATTGGTCACAAGTCACAACTGTAGTATAATATTGTTCTGTGGTATAAAGACGGCTACTGGCTATTCGTACGATTGATCGATAATCAAAATATATCGGGTATTCCGGGTAGAAAAATCACAGGGTAACAGAAAAATAATTATTTTGAGTTCGGGGATATTTTCCTTTTAGCATTACTAGCGCTGTCTTAGTGGATACTTATGGAACTAGATTTAGTTCACCATATTTAACGGATCGTTAAAAGTTAACGAACCAAAATCGGACCTGTAGTTTACAGGTCCAATAGCCGATAATTTACAGACCCGTTAACGTTAACAGTCGTTCAAGCAACACCCAATTTTTTTTAACGGATCGTTAGTGCGTTAACGGCTCTGTAAATCGCTAATGAACGTTTATGCAACCCACCCTGTGTATTCATCTCGTGTCCAGCCCTGTATATCTTATTAGTTATTATCTTAGTCCGTGCCCCCACATTTGCCTCTTGTACATACTTTCGAGGCCTTTGATAAGGTGCTCGTTTCAAATCCAATCACGGACTTCTATACAGAAATTCCAGTCTAGTCTACTATATGTCAGTGACATACGGCCAACATCAGGCTGCCTACTGCAGCCATAGATTGATTCTAACTATAGAATTATGAGCTATAGATCATTATCTATGGCTGCAACCACATTATAATGGACTGGAAACGAAAAGGTCGGCGGGGATCGGGGGACGGCCATGAAAATATGTCAATTAGCTGATGAGAATTCTGTTGTTGAAGTTTTCAGCGCTACCACTGGTTTTACTTGGCTACAATAGTTGGCTACACAATTTGTTTATTAGTCCGTGTTAAATCATAGACGACATAGAGTATTGAGTAATACTCTATGTGTTAAATATAGAGGGCGCTGTGAACTCCAAGAACACATAGCGACCCCCCGCACTTTGCTTCTTGTATGTACATTAGTGGCCGTGATAAGCCACTCGTTAGTCGTTTGAAACGACTCGTTTCCAGTCCATTATATCATTTATTATTTATTTATTTATTTATTTTATCATTTATTGTTCAATGATTATATCAATCTTAGTCCGTGGCTGCAGCCTGCAGCATAGAGTAAATATATTGAGAGGCCGTTACATAATATATCCTCCGTGTTCTAGTAGTGAAGCCAAATTTTCGGTCGTTGACCCTTATCGAGAGTCCAACTGGGCTCTCATTGTCCGCTAGATCGCATAGTTCAATAACGATAAAATGATACTACAATACGTATTTTTTATTATTAGAAGTTTGATTTTTATGATTTTACATAATATATTTTGTTTCTTGTCTATCCAATTAAATGGGAGTAAAATATCTTAACGATTTGTAAAACACAGAATTCAAACACCAACATTATTACTCTATGGGCTGCAGCCTGCAGCTGATGCAGTCATCATGGCTATAGATATTGGCTATTATCTATAGCCGTGGCAGTCATCTCTTTTGATAAACCGATTGTACCATTGTTCTGTGATTATACCAATATACTCGGATATAATGGTAAAAACCATATAGAATAATGGTAACAACAATGCGAACATCCGATCGCGGTTGACAACCTGAAAATATAATATTATAATAATATCGTCTTCATGAATATAATATAATAAATATATTATACCGATGTTTGATAGTGTATAAATAAACATGCATTTAATTTTTTAATTTTTTTTTTTGTGCTATGATGTTACGTTAATAAATGATAATTGTTAATTGTTATTAATTATTATCATGTAGTGTTTTATAATTTAGTTGCAAGTTTCATAATTCGTTATTATTGACATAGATTAGGCGTTGCATTCAGCATTGAGCATTAAGACTTATGAGAGTTGACAGAGTTCAGTAACTTAGTTCGGAACACTGTTCGGAGTACGTGGTCGATGATTGCTATTCATAATAATTATCAGTGAAAATAATTCTTTCTGCGAAGTATTTTACATTTTTTTTTTTTCAGTAACTTTGTTGTTTGTTATAAAATGTGACATTTTCACCAATGATATCATCAAAACTATGAATGAAACGAACGTAATTAATGTAGACGTATTGACGAAACGATTCGAATCTTTTCAAAGCTCTAAGAAACCAGGATTGGACGACAAAAAACGACACGAGAATAATGCGAACAAAAGAAATATTAAACGAACTCCCGCCTTCAGACGGGATGTAAACATTTCGAGAAAGCTAGTTGTGGATCATTCACATGCCGTAGTGGTAACTAACAATAAAAAACAGTTTAGTAACATTATTATTTCAAACACTAGCGAATGTAATAAAACCACAGCAACTGATTATCATAATTATAATAAGACTGACAGTTTAAATCAAAAATTATACCTAGATACGTTTGCAAAAGATGATAAAAATAAAATTGTAACTGGCCAAAAATCTCTCATAAACTGTTTGAAAAAGAAACTAGAAAATAACAGCACTACAGCTGGTTGTAAACCGAAAGTACCAAAAAAAAATATCGACCTTCCACTAAAAGCACGTTTACCAACCGGTCCGCCTCCTAAAAAGCCACCAAGAACATTTGCTCATGATAAACTAATAGATTTAGATCTTCCTGATAACTGTACCATGGAATCTCATAAAAATCCCAAGTCTGATCCAAAAGCTATGTTGGAAAAGCTAGAAAAGTTTATAACTAAAAATTCTCATACATATGGACCAAAAGAAGAAAAGACTACTGTACAAGATTATAATTCAAATATCAGTTCCAAGAAATCTAACTTATTCAATTTGGCAAAGTCATTAAAGTGTTCGGAAAGTGATAAAGCGTATGGTAACTCATTAAAAATACATCATACAGATGAACAGAATTATTTAACTAGAAAATTGTATAATGCAAATGATACAGAGCATATATATGACGAACCAATATTCCTAAAACCTAACTCAAGGCTAAATATCGATAGTCCTAATAATTGTCATACGCTTTTAATTGGTAATGATCGGGATTGTGATTCCAATAAATCTAATCTACATTATATGGTAAGTTCTATTAATAATTAAAATAATGATTGTCTATTTGATTTTTTTATTTATCTATTACTAAAACATTTATCATACCTTTAAATAATATTAAATCTATCTTTTTATGTTAATCTGTAGTCCACACCAATTAAAGATTATAATTCTGAAATTAATTTGAAAGAATCAGAATCATATTTTCAAATTGATACTACAGATGAATTGGATTCAAAAACAAACAAAAATGTGACAATGAGTCATAAGAGAAAAGTATTATTTTATTTTAATTTGTATATAATTTTTACCTTGTTAAATTAACTGTCAATACTGTGTAATTTTCTAAGATTCAAATGTTAATGAATGAAGCTTATGGTACATTTGTTAAAACTCAAGAGGAAAGTGATTCTGAATCAATTTCTAACTGTGAAGACAGTTCTAGCGGATCAATAAATAATCTAACGGGTACGTTAATAATTATTTTTCTTGCTTTATAGCCTATATCCTTTAGGTCTATACCAAGTGATTCTTTTATCATTGAACACTCATTATTTTAAAAAAAGTAAATGTTTTTGAAAAAAAAAACTACATGGTTTTTAAAATATATTTTTTAAGGTTTTTACTTTTTTTAACATACAATTTTAATATCATATTCCAAAGCAGAATATTTTTCTAAGTATTTCAATACATACAAATTAAATTTAGGACAAGTATTTTATGAGTTATAAGTATTTAAAAATTTAGATGAGACACGGTTACCCTCAATATTTTGGTCCAAAGTAAAAACTTCAAAAATTATAAGTATAAAAAATATAAATTTTTAATAAAAACAATATTCTGTAACAACTTGAACCATGTACAAAAATATTTTCAAAAAACATTAATACTTTTTGGATAATGAGTGTCCTACGTTAAATAAATCATGTGGTACATTGTTTATCTATAGAATTAATTTGTTATGAGTCCTTTATAATTATATAAGTTAACAATGATGAGTACACTTAATATCTATACAAAATGTGTGATTATAATGATATTTA